CGTGGCGTCCCGCCACCCCACCGCCGCGCCCGGCCCCCGGCGGCATCTGCTGTCAGCAAGGAGGGAGGAAATTCATCTGTTTTGAAGAGGAAATTAAAAAAATCAGCAGCGAAACCTCAAACGTTGACCCACATCCGCTACCACAACGGGAAAAACTTAATGAGCTGCCGACGTGGGCGAGGGTGGCTAATAATAGCCCGGGTGCCAATCGAGCCACCCATGTTGCCCTTGCCATGGGCGAGAGGGCACCCACCTTCTGGAGGGGTCCTCTGCACCCAGCTTGCTTGGAGGGCGGCTGTCACCTCCATCACGGCCACCAAGGGGACATCCCTGGTCCCTCATCCGCACCTCCAGGTCCCCGGGGGGGCCAGGTTTTAGCATTAAGTGCAGCCGAGAGCCCTGGTGCCAGCCACGATCCCATCAAAAAAGGCGAGGAAGGTCCCGGCACGGCGCTGGCCGGGAATGGCGCTCCCCGCGGGAGGGACATTTTTAGCCCAGGAATGTTTAAAGCCCTGAATCCAGCGTTCCTTCAGCCCACCCGGGGTTTTGGGGGGGTCCCGGGTGACCTGGGAGTCACCTCTCCCGGCGCATCCCCGGCGAAGGACGCGCACGTCCGTGCTCGGCATCGCCCCTGGTCTGGCTCCGCTCCGGGAGCAGGGAAAAGGCTTCATTCTGCTCCCCGGTCGCATCCAGCACCCTGGGGGGCACCATGGAACCCCAAGGGCCAGGGGACATTTTCTTTAATGGCCAAAAGGACCCAGGTTGCCACCAGGTTGCCCCACTGGCCCCTGAGAGCCTTTTTTTTTCCCTGGCAGAAGCTGCCCCCGCCCCAGGGAGCCAGGATGAGGCCATGGCTGGATGGAAGCTGGGAAGGGTTTTCCCGTAAAAGCCCGGGTGGGGGCAGAGCCCGGGTGAGGGGTGCGCAGGGATGGGGACCCCCACATCGCTCACCCCACCATGGGGGTCCTTGGGGAGGAGGGGGACCCCCACCCAGGGGAGCGGGGACCCCAAAAGCAAAGCAGCTCTGTCCCTCGGGGTGGAGGAGGGGATCGGCAGCCACTCGGAGGCTCCCTGTGGGGGGGCAACCAGGACCGG